AGAATTCTACCACTGAACCACCATAAAATGGTCAAACTGCAGAACTGGCCCCATTTGTTCACCAAACTTCCTGAAGCCCATAGTCGGCCTCCCAGGAGGACTTCTCATCTGGGTCTCAAAGAACATGATGTACCCTGATTAGTGTCTGAGGAAGACAAGTTCTATGCCTGACGGTTTGGTTTTATTTTTCTAAAATAAGCATATTGGGAGGAAGCACTCTCCTCACCAAATTAGACACCAAGAGTCGCCTCAGGCTGAGACTTTTCAAAAAGTCCAAGTCCATCCCTGGAGTCTGGCTCACTGCCAAGCGAAGCTGCTCTGCAGCTGGGCAGGTGGTGATGTTCACATCCCCAATAAATAACGTCGCCTTTCCTCCACTGCAGTGACCCTCACCACTTCCAAAGCCATGCTGAACACAGCTGTGGTTCCGCCAGTGCTTCATTATCCAGGCAGTTTGGTTGCCATAGACTTAATGGTAATGAGATTCCTCCTGAATCTGAAGAAGACAGGTGGCTGAGACACTTCGAGTTCCCTAACTGAATCATAAATACAGTGATTCCCATGCATCTTTGATGCCCTGAGGAAATAGCCTGCATCAGGACAAATTAGTGTCCACATGGCTAGGAAGACAGACTGCATCCTCCTCGATATATGCGCATGTGCACACAGACATGTACACACATGCATACAAACACGCATGCACACACACACACACACACACAAGAGGCACACACATGCACACACACACACGGAGCTGAGCATGGAGGCTCCTAAATGCAGGATAACCTAAACAGGTGTGAAACACGAGGCATGAAGGAGGGCGGTACAGGGCACACACCCACTCCTTCCCCAGTGGGCCAGATCCTCTGCAGGACAACATCTCGTTGCTCTAAAGTGATACCGAACGCCCAGCTGGTAAAGGGAAGGGGAGAGGGTTAACACAAGAAACAAGGGGGAACACAGAGCAGCCCTCCTTATCCGGAAGGGGGTTCACCCAGCAGGTCCAACAATAGTTGGAGCTTTAGGGGATCTTGAATCTAAAGAGCCAGCAGGCCTCACTCACATTCATTTAGAAATGCAGCATACCAATTATTTGTAATGCAAGCCCTCCCAGGGCTCGAGTTATCACCCAGGGAAGTAGC